TTTGTCTTTTGTTTGTGCTTTTTCTTAACTTTCACCACAGTGATATTTCAAAACAATCTGACTGAGAGAACTGTCACAAATTCTGTCCTTTGGTGGACTGATGGATCAGTTTAGGAAAAAAAAAAATTGCTTCACTGCTTCACTTCATCATAGCCTTAGGAAAACTTCATGAAATTGAAGTGAGTTCCTCAGGAAGCTCCATTACAAACCACGTTTCCACCAAGCGGTTCAGTTCAGTTCTGTTTGTTGCACATTAGAAGGGTTATTTTCGGGTTTCCATTGGCAAAAGTTGTGAACGGTACTAGTAGAACCACTACTTTCCATTCTGTTTTTTCATAACCCCTCTGTTGAGGTTCCAAGCGGGTGGGGTTAAAACACTGCAGACCACTGATTGGTGAATAGGAGCAACCAGTAGTCTTGTTGGCTGCACTCTGATGTAGGATTTCCCACACTCTCCTGTGTTTTATCAGCAGTCTCTCTGCCTGCAGCCTTTTCTCAACAAAGCTTGCCTCCTTGCTGTAGGCTAATATACAACCACATACCGTGTGTGTGTAGGGAGTGTGTGGTTGACTTAGTGTGAGAGAGAGAGCGAGTGGCAGAAAAGTGATGGTGAGATTAAACAGCATAAAATTACTATATTTAAGTATAAAACAGGTCCTAACCACTTGTTGAAATATAGACACTGAAGTGCTATCACGTGTAATCTAAAAAATATTTTAATTTTCAACTAAATTTAGCTCAGTTTTAACCTAGACTAGACTTTTTGAATTGCAAATTACTGCTCACTGAGTCAGTGCAAATTTGATTTTGCATGATCTTCGCTATTGTTTCCTCATGCTGAGCCTCTTTCTCAGGTTAGTTCTTTTCAGGAACATGTAAACAGAGTATTTTCACACTCCCTCCCTCTGTCGCAGTCTGACTTCACCCCCCGCTCTGTGGGAAGAGCAAAGAGCTGTCCCCGGCACTTTGTGTCAAGGCCTGAAGCATGGTCAGCCAGAGACATCCAGACGTCCTCGATGTGAAGAGAAGAGAATGGGCGAGGAAGAGAAACTCTGTGTGACACTGAGAGGGGAGAGGAGGAGGAGGAGGGGGGGAAGAAAAAGGCGAGGCCGCATCAGACGACTGCCGAGCTACATCCAAGTGTCAGTATCCCAAAATAGTGGCGAGCAATGACCAGACTGAAGACACCAAACAAACAACAGCTCTCAGATCAAGTAAACATCGGCTAACACACAAGACACGACAAACTGTGAAGCCTCCCTCTGTCTTCCGGTCTCGTTAATCAGAGCTGCGGAGAAAGCAATCGGAGGGGACACCCGTCCTTGTTAGAGGAGGCTGCAGCCGTCTCTCCCCTCCTCTGACCGAGGTCCTCGCAAACACTTTGCTTTTGAAAAAACGTTGACAAGCTCCCTCTGTGTGGTGCTGTGTGGACACAGAGGACAGAGTCTCGTCTCCAGCAGATGTCTTGTGGCGCCGACTATAAATAAAGCCAATGAGACCAGCCGGCCGCTGACGAGCACAAGCCGCCGCAAGGCCGTGTAAGCTTTGCAAAGGGCCTGTCTAGTCTTGGCACGGCAGGCGGGCTAACATTTGGCGGGCCCTACGTCGAAGCCTGTGATGCCTGTGAGCTTTGTGTTCAGGGTTTTAGAGGAAAATAAAGATTCCAGCCCCTAGATTTGAGGTTTTATCAAAGTAGGGGCAAGTGGGAGAGGAAATGTTGGAAGCTGAGGTGCACAGTAAAAGCTCGGTAGCGAGGCGCCTGAGGAAACAAAACCAAGGATGCAGCAGAAAACATGTCATGCATTGTTAATTTCTTCTGTGTGCAGTAACATATAGTCAATTTAGCATGCGTTTAACATCAGTGAGAAGAAGTATAACATCTAATGTATTTACCATAACGTAATGTGCCATTATATGCTGTGCAACAGTCAGAGAGGAGCACACCAGTGTAGCCTTGTGTTTCATTGATGACCCTGACAATCCCAAAGGACATTGGTAGCCTAGGGGCCTGTCTGTCTCTATTTAAACCAGTCTAACAGCGCCTTATTTGGAAAGGAGAGACTTTCACTTGCCAAGACAGTGTAGGCACCCTCAATTAAGATGTAATGCAGTACCATTTTATTGCACATTTCATTGTAGGACGCATCCACAGTTAGTGCTCTGATGAAAATATCCCAAGTCGGCCATAACATGGAACACTTACAGTATCTCTGTGATAATCATCACAAATGTGATATTTCAACACTGATAAAACGGCCGATACACAAATCACCTCCTCCTTTTATAAGAAACATTCAGAGTAGGAACACTTTAATTTCATGTTCCATTACACGCCCTCTAAGCGGACAATTACATCATTGCACATTTCTCTACGTTAAGTCTGACAGAAAAATGGAGGACAGAAATCAGAGACGAACATTCATAAAATGAAAAAAGGGCCAATGACAGATTGTCACAGTGAATCAGTGAGGAGGTGGGGCAGGAGAAGGGGAGTTGTCCTTATGAAAAAGCTCCATCCACTTCAGTACATGTGAGAAGTGTGTCCCATATCATGAATGTACCAGGGTCTGATCCTAAAATCCTTTTTGGATGAACAGCTGGAGTGACGGCTGTAATCCATTGCGCTATCCTAAAGGAAACACCCAGAAAGCCATGAAACTCTGGAAAAAATACAGTTTCTGACCTGAAAAACTAATAGACTGGAGGACGTACTGATTGTATGTGATTTTGGTGTAGTTGGATGTTTGTACAGTATGTGTGTATTCCTTGTAGACAAAACTGCACTGAAAACAAAATTGATCTCTTTAAATCCTAAAACCACAAATTAACTGGGTTTTGTTCAACCAAAGGGTACACCACTGATTGTTGAGTAAGTAAGCTGCACTTCCTCTAATAGCCACTCGATGCTGCCTCCAAGAGACGTTGCATTAAATTTAATGGAAAAACCTCCAACTTTCCTCTTTATATCAATAGGTCAACATTTTAGATAATAGCCCTCCTCCCTTTGTTGCTGAGAGTTAGAAGAGAAGCTGATAAAAATGATGGACAAAACTATGAAAATAAGTTGTAATAAACTGGAATTATCCTTTAAGTTAACTTGTCATGGGGGGGATTTTGAGAACTTCCCAGTTAGAGGACATTCACAAGATAACAAAATGGTTGCTTGATTGACAAGGGACTCTGCCTGTCTAAGACAATCTTGGTGGTTGCTACTACCTTCTACCATTGACAAGATTTGGATTTTAGGCCTTACAAGAAGAAACCCAAACTCAACGTTTTAACTTTAAACGTTTTAATTTTGCCCATTTCTTAATTGCCAGGGGAAAAAACAACTGATGCCAGAGTGTACCAAGTGGAAATATGGTTAGATGTTTTTAGATTCAGGGAAATAAAGTACAAGGAAAAGACATATCGCACATTTTCCTCTATGTGTTGCCTGTTTTCAGCTCCTTTTACTACCAAAATCATGTTCACAGCCAACTGTAAGCCTACAAAATCAATTAATAACTGAGCAGCGACTGCAGCAGCGGGAGATTCTTGTTGTTTGCCCTTGTATGCACGAGTTACTATCTTAACTTGGCAGCTGACACTTTGCCAGAGTGGATGTGCTGAGAGGTGTATTAGAAGTGATAATGAAGAACACACTTCCAGTTGAGAATGAGGCAATTAAAGTAGGGTGTAAACAGCAGAGGGAGGACTGAGTGTGACTTCCCTCCTGAGGGAATCCTCCAACATCTCTCACACCTGAGAGGTCTGTGGAGAACGCTCTCGCTCTGATGAGGATTCCTGATGACAGTTAGCGACAGGAGGATGTAACACAGTGGCACAGTGCAGCGGGATGACAGCCAGGAGACTGAGAGTGGAGAACGGCCATACCTGCATATCTCAGCATACTTATATGTGTATATATATGTGTTTATATATATATATATATATATATATATATAAAACATAGATTCCATTATGCCTGAAGGAATCTGGGAGTGACTTCGTAGCCTGAGGATTTAAAATGCTGACTATTTAATTGCAATGTCCCCGGGTCAAACCTGCTGGGCACCTTTGCTGCATCTCCCTTCATTGTCCGACAGCTCTCCAATGAATATTGTCAAAGAAATGCAAAAATGACTAACCCTTGAGTAACACAAAATGTAAGATAATCTGGAAAAAAAGGTCATAGGTCATAAATTGTAACAATGCTGCTACTTTAATATTACAAATAAAAATGTGTGCTCCTGTTGTAGTTTCTTACAACAGAGGTGACAACAAACCACAAGTTAAAGGTGCAGGTACATTTAAATACCACTAATACGTACAAATAATGTGTCAATATAAAACATGCAAATGCATTTAGCATGTCCTGATTCACACTACAGAGATTATGAGTAATTATCATTTCAAGGAAAAGGAAGAGAAGAGGAGGAGTAGACCTAATAGCACATTTAAATTATTTGTGTGGAGTGCCGCTGTTGCTTGTCTGACAAATCTTGTACAGCTATGTAAAATTATATAAAATTACTATTACAATGGCTGCTAATAATTTTCAGAGACCACCAACCACTGTGGGCATTAAGATGCAGCAAGGACAGGGTAGGGAACTGTTTCAACCCGTAAACTTTACATTGTTGCTCTTAGCGTTTGACAAGGATGTGAATGTTGTCTTTCTGTCCTAAAAAACGAAATGTAAAGGTGTGTGCCCTAGAAATGTACAATCAATACCCAAATATTGTTTATTTGTATTTGCTGTATTTCTTAGTGAATAACTTTTCAGTATGCCTGTATTTAGAGTAGAGTCTGAAATCCCTTTCTTAATCTTGGAAACGGTAGTTAAATAAGAACAAAATTCACTCCAAAAACTCCACTCAGTAACTTTTTGAAGTGTTGGCAAAAGAAGAAAACGTCGGGCTTGTTGCCCTGCATGGTCTCTAGACTGAGTCTATCCAGATCTCTGTGGGCCGGATCTTTTTACTCAGGCAGTCCTTGGGCGCAGTGCAGGGGTCCATTACTGATGACGTCTCTGGTGATTTGGAAGATGAAACTTGAACCGTTGCGTTGTTTTTAACATTAATGTTAACTAATGTTTACTAATGTTTACTAATGCGAAGTCCGTATTATAAGGGCCAAAATGGCACAAATTGCTCATATAGCAAACTGAAAGGTGAGTGTCTGACATCTCTTACCTCGAAACAAAGCAGCATGTTAGCTAGCCTCTGGTAGGCTGTCCAGACATACTCAGGCTTTAATTAGCCGCTGGCTGCCAAACTGCTTTGAGAATTGTGTTATTTTAAGATTGACTTGGTTAACAATAGTATTGAATACATGGTGAGACTAAACTTAAAATGGTTTATAGATCCGTTGGTTCTTGGGGCATAATCGGCTTATAATAGTTTACAAAGCAAGCACGTTATGTCAACAAAATCCCACTTAATAATCAGTGGTACAAAGCTCACCGCCGCCCGGTGAAGTGTAACATTAACTGCACTGGGAGGGAAAGACTGGGAGTGGGATCCTTTGTAGAAATGCAGACTTTATTAATGAGTGCTGCTCGGTCTGTTGTGTGCTTCTTCGGATTACATTTAAGATGCTGGTGCTTCTTTAAAAACTCTTGAGCCATGTTCTGGGATTGTTACTGTTTACACGTTTTTTATACCGAAAAATGCTGATGAAATTTTACTAAACGGAGTTTGGCATTAGTTTTTGTCCATACAGTTATAGCGGAAGGGATAAGCTGGGTAAAGTTAACTCGGGTAGCATGAGATTACATGCAAAACAAGTCGGTGGCTGCACCTTTAAAGCAGCCAACTAATGTAAGCGAACAGATATTAGCACCTCAAGTTTCTTCCACAAAGACAGTATTGAGAGAACCAACTTTCCCCCTGGTGTTAATTGTTGCTGTATTCACCTGTTGAAACCACTGAAGGTACTGTTTCAGTAAGTGGGTCACTAGTTTTCCTTAGTTGACGCATTGGCTGGTATTTGAGACAAACTTTACAAGCCACAGTGTAGCAGCAGTTAATTGTCAGCCATGCTGTAATGTTTGATAAGACGTGTTATGTAAGATGCAGCCTTAATTGGATCTGACTTTTGTTCTCAGCTTCAGGTCTGACTAAAGCAGACTCGTCCAGCTCAGCCATGCCTCAGAAACAACAAAAGAACGCCCAGCCGTCACACTACATTGAGCTGGGAGGTTATCAGTATTGGCCCGTGCTGGTGCCCCGAGGTATCAGACTGTACACCTACGAACAGATCCCAGTGTTTCTGAGGGAGAACCCGTACATCACAGATGGATACAGAGCCTACCTGCCCTCCAGACTGTGCATCAAAAGGTGGGAGGCAGAGAACAGAGCCGTGCTTTCACTGTACAAGACGGATATATACTGAATACAGGCTGAACTGCTGCATGAATATGCTAATGACTTAAGCAGTTTGTTGCTTGATATTGTTTGTGATTAGCAGAAAGGTATAATATCTATAGTTACTTTATTGTTTTTCTTCACCACTCATTTTTTAATTAGCTGTTCCATATTTCATGCTATGAACTAAAGACCACACTAAACACTGTTTTAATAAGAGATGGACGACTTATTTACCACAGTTTTCTTTTTCCCATGACCACCGTGGCTGGTGCATTCCTCTTTCACCGCTGACAGTCAAGGGTTTAGATTAATTTTGATTCTGTGAAACAGCAGAAGATGGCTGTAGTAAAGGTTGATTTAGTTATTTTTTTCTCTGAGTGATCGTTTTAAAGTTTGTAAATCCTGTTTGCAGCCTCTTCATTCTATCCAATGAGACGGTGAATATCTGGAGCCATCTGTTGGGCTTCTTGCTCTTCTTCTTCGTCGGGGTGTACAACATGGTGTCAGTGCTGCCAGCCGTCGGCGCCTCCAGAGAAGACTACGTCATCTACTCCATCGGACTCTTCTGCTTCCAGGTACAGGACCACCTTTTCCCGTATACTTGAGCCGTGACAGTCGGTAGAAATGTGTGGTTATGATTTCACCTTACACTTTGACTTGTTGGTCGGTTTTCAAACCCATTAGTAGATTACTATTGTAATTATTGGCTGATATAACAGTAAGGCTGTGCTAAGATTACAGCTGGCATCCACAGTGTTTTTTTTCATATAGTGTTAATAAACCCATTCGTATGGTGGACTATTTTAAAAATGCAAAAACCAGGAAAGTATTAGTGCCTCTCCTCAGTCAGCTATTCTCAAATGTTGAGCATCTTGTTGTGTCAGATCTGTGTACTTAACGCTGTCGGCTGAGAAGAGTTCAAGAGAATGGGAGTGACTGAACAAGTGGTGTCATGTCTATAACTGAGATTTTCCCAGTGTTGTAATGGATTCTTCAATAAATAACACAACTGTCATCTTTGATGTCAACACCACATTGAATACCTCTCACTTCTGAAAACAGTAGAGTAAAACAGTAGAGAGAGTTTTATTTTGTCACAGGTTTCAGGTTTTAAGTATAAATCTTTAATGGTCACTTTTTAAAATGAAATTCTAACAATTTGTTGTTCAATGAATGAAAAACTAATAAGGTTTGATTGCACAAGATATTTTAGGTCTGTTTCCTTTATCTTTACATTTAGCCACGTTTACCAGAGCAGGGCAGATTTTATTATTTTCCTTGTGTTGAGCAATGTCATTTGAAATTAACCAGATATCTTGGAAAGTGAATATATGGCAGTTGCATGTTACCTGAATCTGAGTGGTAGAACATCAGACCTTACCCAAAATATTGGCAGTTATTCTCAACAAATAACAATAAAAATAATTATTCCAGCCAGAGTCTTCAAGTCCAAAAAAAAAAAGTCTATTAAAAAAGGCTGGATTTTGAGATTAAAATGGTTAGGACACCTCTTGTTCAATCACAGATATTTTTCTACTTGTTATCTTGCCGTGCGTATCACATTCTTTGCCTGATTCTCCCCTTGCCGTCTCCTCTGGATCTCTCCGTCCTCAGCTGTGTATGCTGTGTTCGGTGGGTTATCACCTGTTTTGTTGCCACCGCTCAGAGAAGACTAGCCGCCGCTGGATGGCGCTGGACTACGCGGGGATTTCCATCGGCATCCTGGGCTGCTACGTCCCCGGAGTCTTCTACACCTTCTACTGCAATAATGTAAGTTCATCTTCAGCTTCCAGTTCACAGTCTCCAATGTCTGCATGCCAATGTAGGGTTTCTTTTCTTTATGCTGACAGGTGGTAAAACAAAGGATTCACCGGCTTCTTCAGTCCTAAAGATATCAGATCAGATCTGATAGACTTTATTGATCCCAAAAATAGATGCACAGTGTAGATAACTAACTAAAGGCAAATAATCAGAAATAAAATGAGGAGACAAGAAAGTTTAAATAATTAAATAAAGAAATTGCAGATGAAGTATTGCTGTAACTGATTTCTAGTTACTTGCATAAGTTCAGTTTAATATAATATAAATATTATCAGCATTCGCCCAAATATTTGTGCTATTGACAGAACAATGTGTAGTTTAGCTTTTCATCTGACTTTCCTGAGCTTGACTTTCCAAGAGTTGATGTGTTTCCTTCTGCCAAAATGATAAAATTTACTCGGTTACGGATTCCCCAGAAATAGCGTTAGGCTTTAAAGTCAGAAGCAAGGTCAAAGTTAAACACCGCGGACAGATTAGTCACTTGCTTTGTCATCTGAACCCTTATCTCTTCACGCGGCATACCACAGTCTCCCTCTGGAACTGCATCCACAGTGTCAGTTTAAATCCTTAAAAAATGCTAAATGTGAAAAGCCTTTCAGTCCTCTGTGACTCAATTGCACTCAGTTTAGTTGTAAATGGCTTATTCTTGTTGTGGAGTGTAGGTCACAAACAACACACTGCTCCACTGTGTTATATCCCGTTTCCATATATTTCCCCTGTACTGTTTTCCCTTCATCTGCTTCTCTTCATATTCATATTTTATTCTGAATTTTTATAATACTACTTACCAATATCAAAGCAATACTGTTTTTGATACCATACCTACATATATATGAAAGTGTTTTTTGATGCAATAAAATAAGCTCAACTAACTAGGTTGATCTAAATTCAGCCTGACTTTGTCTTCCTGTTAGCCGACTACTTTTTTGATAGGGTTTTGTTCTGCTTTAACCAGTCAGTACTGGCTGTGGTTGGAGCACTGAAGTCAACATTTTTCAGGACAATTAATTAACATTTTAAATTTAAGACTTGTTATTTTAGTAACAACCGTTGTTGCTATTTTAGATGCATGTAGTAGATTAGCTAGCACACTGCAGGAAGATTACACTGACGTTCCTGACTGATCAGTTCTTTCACAAACTGGGGAACTGCCACCAGTGGGCACATCATACTGGTCCTGTTTATACCTGGTATTAACAAGCTTCTTGGGTGACGGTAAGTAGGCAGCTCTAGGTACAGGTGTGAATGCTCCCAGGATGCATCGCTCAGACCACAATTGGAGGTGGTATGGGCCGCATATGGCCACATTATTTTAGCAGTGTGTAGGTGATTGTGTCCTGGGCCACACTGAAGGACCGCCTACTCAACTGACATGCTCTGTGAAAGCAGAAGTACATACTCATTCGTGCGCCAGCAGCCTCATATTAAAGTGCGAAACAAGAAGAAGAAGCCACAACATGCAAAAGGGATTCTCATGGATGGAGTACACAAAACATGCTGTCTGATTTCCATTTGGCTTGGAGAAATCCGACCAGAAACCAGAAATGATGTTGGTGGTGTTTATTTTCATATAGAGCGGCGAATCGAGATCCTGAAATGGTCCCTCGAGACACATTCTAATGCTAGGTATGAGCCAAAACCCAGGTTAGGTGTAAACAGGACTGCTGAGTAAGAGGGCATTGTGATTTTTTATTTTTTTTTGTCAGACTGCTATTTCCAGGGACAAGAATAAACTTTAAACGAAAAAATGATTTAGAGAAGGAACTATCTGATGACAGAAAAAGTAACAGTTAGTGAAACTTGAAGCTACAGCACAGACACGTTTCCACTGGAACCTAAAAAGTACTGAGTTGTGATACTCATTCGTGTTTGCTGCTGAGACTGTTGCTCATCAGTGAATCAAGGCTGATCTGAGTGCTGCTTCAGGCACATTATACATAATGTAAATATGCTTATGTGAGCTTCACTGCGCGTGTCAGTGCTTTATGTCTAACCACGGTCCTCCCTGGAGACTTTTAGCTCAAATCCTCGGCCTGAGAAGCAGTAATTGAATAAAGCTGAAGTGGAGCCCACAGTCTGGCTCTGCCGATTGACTCATTGTTCCTGGTGAATAAGCAACACGACACCTTTACTGCGCTCGCCGCTTGGAAAACAGCCTCTGATGACACAAGCCTGTTCGGTTCCTTATTCCAGCCGCCCACCACCATGTTATTTTTTTTTTCCTTTCATGGTTGCTTCTCTTTTCATTTTTTATTTATTTTTTTACTCCTGAAGTTTTTGGCTGTGCTCCTTACTGTTCGCTTTCCCCCGCATATTGGAAGCGCTGGGTTATTTTGCCCCCAGAACGCAGCTGAAATCTGCTCCAGCCCAAACCAGATGGCTGCGTTCACGGAGCGGTCCGTCACTCCTGTTCCCCACCATATGACGTTCGCAAGTCTGGGAGCTGTCTCAGCAAAGGGGGCCCCCCGTCCTTGCCAAGACTAGGGCTCCGCTTCTGGGTGGCTCCACTCCTGTGGCAAGCCAAGTCCCTAAAGAAAAACGGATTTTTATATTTAGCCATTCAAACTCTTGTCTCGTCGGAGTGTTTTAGAAATGCAGATTTGGAGAAGAGAACATGGTGTCTGTTAGGAGAAGAGCTTTAAAAAAATTGGCTGGAGCCAAGCGGGGCCTTGTTCCTGGTGCAAATTTATTCACTGTGAAATTCAGCAGGACTCGTTACATGAGGACGTGTGACTGGACGGAGGCCTACATCCACACAAATGGACAGAAGGGACTGAGACGAGGCTGTCCAGACTGTGCGCAGTTACTTATAGAAGTTTAAGTAACAGTGAGTTTGTTTTGTAATGATGAATATGTTTAAGAAACAGTTGGAGACCGGTTATAGCTCTTCACTGTTTGATCTAGGAAGTTTGTTATATCATAATATTCAAATACAGTAGATTCATACATGAAATGATAGAGATCAGACAACCTGAGGTGTTCATTAAACATTTTCAAAGAGTCGGAAAAGTGAAAATGAAAAACAAATCCTTAAGTTACTTAGATCTCAGAGGACCTCAACAAACAATCATTTTTATTCTTTAGTTTAGTACATTAGTTTGTACTGTTTCTTTGATTAATTAAAGATCAGAAGATAGTGAAAAATGCTCATCGCAAGTTCCCAGAGCCCAAAGCCTTTATTAATTTGTTTGTCTGACCAAAAGTCTAAAACCCTGAAATACAATAATATAAAACAGAGAAGCAGCATTTGAGAAAATGGACCGAGCCAACAATTATTTTTGCTAGATTAGTGATAACTTTCATTTGGTTGATTAATTGAGTATTTGTTTGAGCACTAAAAAAGAAGCTGAAAACAATATAACAATACACATGGTGTTCAAAAGGTCCTAAAAATGTCAAAGAACCTCATGAATCGTGACTTAAATACACGTAATAGAATACATTTACTTCCTTCTGCTGCCTGTTTCTACTCTTGAACTCTTGAATTCATCTTCTTGTAAGACTGAAAGGTTTCAGTTTGACTCTGACACAATGTGAATGTGCGTCTGTCTGTCTGTGTATAAGATTCTATTCTATTCTCCTCCTGCAGATACCTGCGTCATGGAAGCAGACAGAGAGAAGTGTCCCTGTGTTCACTGTCAACAGGCAGTGTGTTAGTAAATGTGTTGATGGTGTGATTTAACCTTTGACCTTCCTGTCTCTGCAGTACTGGCGGCAGGTGTACCTGGTGACGGTCCTGGCCATGATCCTGGCCGTCTTCTTCGCTCAGATCCACCCTCACTACCTCAGCAAGCAGTGGAAGCAGCTGCGCTCGCTCATCTTCTGCTCGGTGGCCGGATACGGCCTCATCCCCACTGTCCACTGGATCTGCATCACCGGAGGCTTCTCCTCGGAGCTCGTTCAGGTGAGCATGCTCACTGTTGTCCCAATCACCTTAATTATCAACGCTTTGAATCCGTATTTCTGAGGGCAAATTTGATTTTGAGCTGTGTGACCCTTCAATTATTTATTTAAGTTCATCTGCAAGCTGGAATCATTTGTCAGTGGGAAGAATCTAGCATGCATTGATGTGTAGTATCTCTATTGACTCATGTCAGTGTGAAAAGTAAGCTGCTAGCTGCAATAATATTTACGCACTCGTTTTCTTCCCAAACGTAGTTAGGAAAAGATAAGCAATAATTTGACTGAGACAACATAGTGCTGAACCACGCTTCTCTCATCATTTTATTTCTCCTAATAACTCACTGAGCAGAGAGGAGTCACTGATTCAAGCTGATGTTTGTTGCACGCAGCCATCAGTCGATATTCTGTTAACCTCTTCTGAGTCCTTGGTGTTTTGTAGCTACACTCAGTTTATTCCACACAATAAATAAATATTTCTTTCCTTCAGGCTTTTGTTCCTCGAGTCCTGGGGATGTATTTCATCGCTGCATTAGCTCTCATTTTCTACGTTTCAAAAGTCCCTGAACGCTACTTCCCAGGTGAGACTACTTCTTGATTTCCTCTGTTGTTCAGTACTCACAGTAATACTGACCAAATGTTCAAAAGGCTCATGGTTGTCCTTACTTACTTTTTGGAGGGAAATGGATCTCAAACAGCTTCATAAATGTTTAATATTTAGTTTCACATTTTAAGCATCTTTAGAGTTGTGTGTGCGTCTCATCTGGTGTTTTCAAGGTTGCACAAAATATCTGTACAATTCCCTGAAATACACATCATCATTATAGACTATAATGATCAAATCATACTTGAAGGACCAGTGTTTAGGTTTTAGTGCCATCTAGTGGTTCAGTTGCAGATTACAGCTCTCTCGCTTCACCCTCCCGTTCCCAGTAACTGTGGATTCATTTTAGTTTTTTCCTCCTCTGATGCTTCTGCAGGTCAGCTGAACTACCTGGGCTCCAGTCACCAGGTGTGGCACCTGCTGCTGGTGCTGATGTTTTACTGGTGGCACCAGTCGGCGTGCTTCATCATGGCGTACAGACACAGCCAGCCCTGCCCCGATGTCCCCCAACACGCCTAGGATGCTGCTCTGCATGCTGGGATCCCTGACTGTGTTAAAGTGTAAGCAGCACTATTACTTTAAAGCTATGAGAATATATTTCATATTTCTCCTGTTTCTCAACTATTCTGGGACAAACTTTGTCTAAATATTATAGTTTCTCCTGGTGGAGGGCAGCAGTTCAAAGCTGTACCTCAGTGAAATCAGGTTTTATTTGCTGATCAGTTGAGTTGCACTGGGTTGTGACTGAAAGGTCGTCTTACATCACCACAGAGGAGATTAACAGTTGTTAGTCAGATTTTAGAGAGCAAACAGGACCATTAGTGGAAGTATGGGGAAGTCTCCTGTCTCATATGATATATGAAGAGGCTTCAGATCATCAGTCACATAGAAACTGACATCAAGGAGATAGAAAATGTGAGAACACACTCCGCAGGTACCAACACAGTATTATCAGCCCTGGTTCTCATGATGAATGTATTTGTTCATTGACTCAGTTTGAACCTGTTTTTTCCTCTTTAGGCTGGTGGATGGCTGCAGCATATTCCAGCATGTACAGGTGGAAGGCAGGGAGACACCATGGACAAGCCTTCAGTCCATCTCAGTGTCACCACAGACGGACATATTCTTACCTGCAAGTGTCTTCAGTACACCCGAGTGTCTGTGTAAGCGGGAATCAGACCTGTGACCTCCAGGGTGTGAGATGACACACGGCGAGTCTATGTTGTTAGAACAGGACCTCTTGAGTGATTGTAGGTAAACTGTCACAGTGGCTTAAAGTCATCTTTACCGCAGTCACCAACAAAACACACAAACTCTGCAGTTCTAAGTATAAAATCTCCAGAAATTGAAGCAACTGCGCTGCGTTCAAATTACCATACCTTCCTCTTCATCACAGATGTAGCCACAAAGAAGACTCAGTCAAGGCTCGCAGGTTTAATCAAGTAGCATTTTTACGTTTCTTTAAGTGCCTGTAAATGAAACATCATGTAGCACTTGTTAAATTAATTTCATTTGTGTGAACTTGTGCATTTCTCCTAGAATGCAAAAGATTTCAACTGATTCACTTATTTTTAAGGTTTATAAGGCAGTGCCCCCCACCCTCCCCCCAAAAGGTATATTTTGAATATATTTCCAGTTTATGATGATGCTTTTACAGACAGCTTGTTCCTTGAAAAAAATTAGGTTAACTGCCTTTAGACTTCCTTCAGCAAGTAATTAAGTAAAATGACCTTAAAAGGGAAAATGAAATGTTTTAGGTGTCGATGTCACCAATGTGCACAGTTATATGCTGTAAGTATGTGTGCACAAGTTAACAAATCTGTTGTTCAGTGTTGAGAGCTGCCGAGAACGATCATTTCTTCTTTTGTTTAAAATCTATTAAAAGTTGTTTGTGGTAAAACTGTGAGGTACTTGAAAACAAGCAAAAACTAACCAGTATCTTTCAACACAATTCATGTTTAGATAGAAAAACCAAAGAGTCAGAGCCAGGGCTCTGGAGCAAGGCTCAGTGTTCTCTTCATCAGTTTATATTGCAGTTTTCATTTTGTCCTTTAGTGTGTGCAGTATTGGTGTTTCTGTTTCTTACTGCTGAGTGAGACAAACAGATTGTGTTAGTGTAGAAGGGCAAAATGTACTTAGGACTCGTGAACTGCACGTTAGTACCTGATGATCCAGGGTTGAATGTCGTCTTGTGTTGGGCTGCACGCTCTCCGTGTTCAGACACTGAGTTCAGAGTACTTTATTAAGAACTGTGCAGAATGAACTAACAGATCAAATTCTCCCGCACACCTTTATTGAATTATATTCCAGCACTAACCAGTGGAAGTTGAGGCTTGTTAAAACGATGAGTCGTGATTTTCTGGGTGTTACGGAGCAGCTTGGCCTCCAGGGGCTGCTAGCGAGACTTTTAGGCCTTTAAACTGTGTCCCACTTCTAAACTTTAAACTTTTTTTAATTTGCATACATTTACTATATCCTGTTTTTTACGTATTTTTTTTTTACAGCAGTAAGAAGCTTTTCCATTTCAACAGTGCCCATCATCGCTGTGCTCAAAAATCAATCGATCTTTTTCTACAAGTGTGCAATTTTACGTGTACGTTACTGTAAATACTGTCAATTTAAAATAAGTTTAAAGTCAGGACACCTTGTTTTTATAACGATCAAAACACTGATTTAACATTTTGCAAATCTGCATGCATTGCAATTAATGTTGCAACTGCAACGTTTCTGTGTACTGTGCAGCCCTGTTATTATCTACTGTACATGATTTACACTTCACTACTTAGCTTTTTTTCTTCAAATTAAACTAGTTCCAACTACATTAGACTTGTTTTTGGAAACTACTGTTTCTGCATGAACTACCAAGAGATTCTTCCACTGTTGGTAAACTGAAACTGTTTTAATGTATTTATTTTAGACATAATAACTCAGTACTTTTTCTCCTGCTCTGTTAGGGTGATGTGCAATGTTAAAGGTCGACTGTTGTAGTTTAACTTGTCTTCATTCCAAAATGCAACACATCCATGTTGGACAGAAATCTTAAGTCAATCTCAAATATAGATGTTTGTAAGCAAGAGTCTTAATGCCTCATAATGTCTCATCAGCATTTCTGTGTGTCATCATTGAATGACAATAGGTGTCCAGTAAAATGGTAGCTGTCTCATTTTGGAATGAAAGTAATTTTTTTTTGTGATATTTAATGTTTTTACATTTCAGACTGGAAGTATTCTCTGGTGTTAAGATTCTTTTTGTTCTGTATTTAAATTATTCGTTATGAACCTGCTCTGTACGGTCTGTGATAGTTTCTCTACAACATTTTGTCTTTGATAAGCTCTAAGAGACATCAGCTGTGTCTAAGACTCATTTTGTAGCAGTGGAAATTTTGTATCTTGACTTTTCATACCTGAGCAATCAAACTGCTGAACTTGACTTTAAATAAAACTAACCATGTTTATAAAGTGTAAAACTGCTTTGTTTTAAATTCCACTCAACAGCATCCACCTCAAGCCGAACTGAGATGACTCTTTTTATTGCATCAAACAGCAGTATAGCATGATAAATACAATATAAGATTTACCCTTGTGGTGGTGGTAGGGGTGGAAAATCGTTGGATCAAATGGTTCCACTGGTGAAAACACAGCAACCTGCAGGTTCAAACAAATGTGCCAATGGGTGTGTAGGTAATGCAGTGCTTAAGGCCGCCAATGTAGAGCACAAGGGAATAGTTCATGGAAGAATTCGGCATTGAAAACTGCACTCCTGAAGACAAATGACCTGAATTTGCATGACACTCTTCAATGTTTCTTCCCTTTATGAATACGCCAATTCACATTCTGTAGTGGAAAGATCTGTCAAAGAATACCTGATGGTATTCCATATTGTTGTTGTTGTCAGCAAATCACATGAAAAGACCAAAACCAATAACAAACCAATTCTGTGACTAGTATTTTGTGTGTGAATTCAAAATAACCATACGTGTCTCACATCTATCTTTTCACTATGAAGCTGGTTAGCTTAGCATAAAGACTGAAAGCAGGGGAAAACTGCTAGCCTGTCTCTGTCAAGGGTAACAAAATCCATTACAGAAAACTATTTCTTGGGCGGGTGAAATAACTTCCTGGAGTCCTGTTCTGAAATGAGCATAGTTCAGTAAACATTATTCATCAGTTCCTTTAAATGTATGTCTTCAGTAGGAACCACTGTGCCACAGACAGGGTAGGGAAGTCAAAGTATTGAGATGGACTAACACATTGTTGTGTTTGGTCATTTTATGGAATTTGTTGACAATAACAAAATATATGGAACACCACCAGCCTTATCCTTTAACAATGGTGCAATTAAATATTTTTAAGCATAAATTATTCTAAAAACATTATGACATCTAATGTCAGGAGCATGTACATTGCTGAGAAAATAGCAGTACAGCTTGCCAGTTTCTGTAAGGGTCGAAGTTCTTAAAACGTAAACCTAGACTAGTGATCTGTGTTGTGTTGTGTCTTGTGTTTTATTTATTTCTAACAATGTGTTGAGTTGTAACTTCATAAAAAATAAAGTTAACAGTACTTACATAGAAGTTTACAGCTACAGTTAAGAGCCTAAATTTAAACCTGACCCAATTAACAGATCCAACTTTTTAAGGAAGTACAATAAAATTAGATCCCTTCTAGTATTTAAAGTGTAATGCAACACAAACAACAGCCACATCTGGCTGCGTAAAGACTACTGTGAAATTATGCATAGAGGGAGGTCTAATAAGGACAAAACGAAGTGGTTAAGGTCGACTCCCTATCGATTCCACCGACATGAAAGGCGACGCAGGCCGATTGTGCCGTGGTTTTTCCGAGGTACTGTGCAGCAAGGCAGAGCCCAGCTCAGGTAAGGCTTTGTGGTGCTAAAAATAACACATTGGTAGATCAGAAGGCAGGCCATAGCGCTTTTTGCAGAGAGTCAAGCTGTCAAACGTTAAGCTTAAAATCACAGTACAATTTCGAGTGGGTTTTCCATTTCTCCATGTTCAAACGTCTTTACAAGCGTTAAGGATGCAGCATTAAAGGCTTCTCAGCAAACAGGTACAGCTGAAAGATATGTGGAAACATCACACACTCCACAGGATTTGGGCTTTTGTTATTGAAACTGAGAGATGTATTAAAATGTTCTTTAAAAAAAAAGTGTTAGGGCATTGTTAGCTTCTTGGTTTATGATTGGTTGTTCCCAAGCAACAAAAAAAAAAAAAAAGCTTAGGGGTTATTTAACAGCAACTGGCAGAGTAGAAGTCACTGCTTCGAGGGAAAAGGTGCAGCTCCGAACGGGTCTAGCTCCAAACGGTTCCGAGGTCCAAAAGGGTCGAGCTCCCCCAGCTGCGAGGGCGGCGGCGGCGGCGGCTGCTGCGGTCCACCGTGGACCATTTCTGTGAAGGGCACCGCCCCAAAATCATCCATTATTTTGCTTTCTCCGAGAGCACCGTGAAGAGAACCAGTCCAGGACTTGCCATTGGCTGTGCCCATGTCACTCTTGCTATCAGGGAGTCCCTGATACTGGCCGTGTCGGCTGCCGTCCTGAGGATGGAAAGGTTTGGCTCCAAATGGGTCTAAAAGGGCCTCATCTACCGGCAGAGAAGCTCCTTTGTCTTTCCCTTCAGCCATGGTTATATCAACACTGATGTTCTCTTTAGAGTCCGAGGTGCTAAGGAACTCATTGCTGCTCTGTGAGTCTCTCCGGCCAACCTTCTTGTGTCGGCGAACTCGCTCAGGTGTGCGGTAAGTTGGCTTGTTGGTCTTGCGGCCTCCAGTTGGCGTACCGTGGTGGCGTTTGCCGTTGCTGCCGCCTGCTGTGGACTCCTGCTTGGTTTTTCTCTGGCGTGACGACAGCTTCTGGAGGCTGCGCTGCTTCAGCCGCTGTTGCTGAGGGCTGGCTGACTCCTCAAAGGACGTGTGGAAGATATCTTCTGCACTTCTAGAGGTGGTGGGAGGCGGTTCAGTGGGGCCCGGCTGGAAGGGAGAGAAGCCGAAGATGTCAATGCCCTCGGGGGAAATGGGCGGTGTTTGCCCCATGGGAACATCACTGCCACTCTTGCCTGACTTGGAGAGGTTCCGGCTGAATGGCGCTTTGGTAAAAACATCAAACTCGTCCCCAGCTTTCTGCTCATGGCTAACTTGCCTGAATGGCGCTTTGGCAAAGATGTCTGAGCTTTCTGGAGGCCCGACAGGTGAGGCTCCTTTGAGGAAAGGAACAGCACCGAAAACATCCACAGGATCCACAGCCAGGGCAGCTCTCGCTCCGCTGGGCGACTCAGGAGGGGTGATCAGAGTCATGCCAGAATCCTCCCGAGGACTCTTTCTGGTGGCGGCCGAAGCTGCTTTACCTGCCGGAGCCTTCTTTGAGCGGCTCTTGACCCTGCTGGGATCGTAGTCCGAGTCAGAGCTGTGCTTGTCTTCATCCTCCTCTCCCTCTTCTTCAGAGTCCATCAGCAGAGGCCTCTGTCCTAAATTCTCTGGCTCAGTGTCTTCACCGTGCTCGCTGTTCAGGCCCTCTTCCTCCTCCGGCTCTTCTTCCTCGCTGCTTTTTGGTGAAGGAGGGTCGGACTCGAAGTCGCTGTCGGATTCTTCGCCTGGTCTGCAGTTGCTCTTTTTGCCTGGTTTGTGCTCCTTGACCGTCGCCGGCTGCAGATCTTGTGCAGTGGTTGAGACGGGGGTAGGAATGCTGACTTCCTCGTTGGTCTGCTCAGTCTCTATCACATCGGTGCCTGCAGAAACGACAGAAATGCGAGCGTTATAGATGTTCCCAGTCTTCTTGTCTTTTTAATATTCTCAAACAAATGTGCATTTTAGTAGACATTTGTTTGAAGTTAAGTTTTAACCTCACACTCTGGATGTTTTAAATAACAAGATGAGTGACAGAAGGAGACTCTTGATGCCAGAAGTTCATTTCCTAAAAACGTCTTGTGGCCTCTTTGACCTCTGTAATATGTGGATTACTTGGCTTATATTAGGATTTGGATTTGTGGATTTCCAAACAGTTTGTCCAATATTGAAGCAGAAAGAGCAGTGAAGGAGAATTCACAAAACTCAATATGGTCTTAAAGCTTCTCTGACCTCTCTACTCTGACCCTGCAATAAGAGGAGCAGGCTTAGAGGATGAAGAAATATGCCCAGCCCAGCCCAGCTGTCCAAGATTCACAAAGTTAAGTTGCTTTTAAATTTAAATCTCTTGGTGAAAAGATTTAAGCTGTCAGTCACCTCCTTTAGACTTAAAACAATAAAATAAAGCTTTGTTCTACAATTACTACTCCTTACTTCACCATTTCTATAAATTCTTACGCATAGTTGGCATTTGCTGAAAACTTTGTGCTTTGTGTAAATTTATTTCCAAGAGATTTGCATAATGACAACTTAGAAATTAGCCTAATTAGCAAGTGGATAGTCTCCAATTATATTGAAAATAAGTTGTGCCATGCACAATGAGCCAATTTATTGTTCCCTATTAGTGGAAGCTCTACATTAGAAAGCAGAAAAAGGACCCCCTGCTGTGAACACGAAAATGGAAACCTCTCCGCGTCTTCAACCATCCAAACTGGCAGGACGTGATGACAGATTAGCCAAAAGCTTTGTTGTTGATAAATGAAACAAGGCGGCAATAAAAGATAGAAAGTCACTGGAACAAAACATATTAATACAGCAAACATGAGGTGCTCTGCATCTGTTCGCTCCACCCGACTGGTCCCAGATTATAACTCGTAATCATGTTCACCTCACCAGGGTGAGACAATCTCACGTCTTTAATCATGAGAGAAGATGACAGACTGACACACAGATTTGTTTTGTCGATGTTCCTTTGGGTAAAAGCTGAAGGATTACATGCTGCGTCTGATCTCTTAAAGATACAAATAAGTGGTGAAAACATGCGTATGATTGTTCTCTTATCTGATGGAAGATAAAATCTGTTAGAAATGCCTGACAGCAGGCTGGAGAAGTCTCTTCCCTCACGCTAACCCTAACCCTAACAACTACTGAACCTAGATTGATTTGATGAAGCTGCAGAAAGGCCGACGTTTTCAATACTGAGTGACTGAACCAAATCATTACCGAAAACACACGACTGCTAATTGTATTACGCAAAATATTAATCATGTAGTTGACTTCTCAAAATACCAGGAGGACAGAGCTCCCCACTGGGGGTCAAAATGATGAAATTGTACAATGTGATGAAATTATAATAGAGCTAAATAGCTCTACTGTATAGGTCAGCAGAAAATAATCAAGTCAATAATCAAGCAGAAAATTCTAATCATCCCTTTTATCAGCTTCTCAAGCATTAAATTAGCAGTTTTTCCTCCCTGTCAGCCAGCCATTGTAAAACTGTCTGACCCCAATTTAAAATCATTTTAATAAAGACACTGTATACATTAAGGGGTTGAGACCAACACACTGACTCCCGGCCTGTTCAGGGTTGAGTAACAGGATTAGATGGATTTAAATATCAGTGAATTATGAGCCTGTTTGAGGTCACAGCACAGAATTCATACTTACATAAGGTCTTGTAAAGGAGAGAAATATTGAAACTAACACTTCTCCCTGTCACTCTACAGTACATCATAAAATCGTTTTGTTTTTTTTTACTGTAGCTCATCTTATTGTATAACAAGCTGCTCTGTATATTTGATCACCAAGTTACAGCTTGGTAACATGAAGGTTCTTCTAATGACAACTCAAATTCAAAATGAGAATGTGAATTATTTATGTAACTTGCTTCAATATTGTTTTGGAAATATATATTTCAAGGCCCAGTTGGCAATATGTTGCAATATAAATTTGAGGTGTACTCGCACACATAATTGAAGCGTTTCAGATTTTTACTGTCTTGAAAATGAGCTTCTAATACTATTTGAATGAGACATCTATAAAGTGACCGTGTGTCATAAATCATGCACAAGTGAAAGAACACCATAGACAGGAGGAGACAATGGAGGGTACAATTAGAGATTCACATGAAGAAACTGAGATCATCTAAATAAGGCCATGAAACCGGGAACTGGCTCCCTGTTAAGACGATATTTGGAGGGAAAAAACAGTTAAAACTATATACGACAGTGGAGTGGTTTATCAGTGGATGCTAAACAATCTCAGAGTACGCTGTTATGTTTAAAGGTTTCACACATCTGTTTGTCAACATAATTTTTTTTACCATCACCTTCCCTATGGTCCAAAAATAACCTGTTTGGTTTTGCTGGAGTTTGATTGGGACAGAGAACAAAGACAGCCATGTTCACAACAGGAACATCTTGTACGTGGTGTAGTGGTGGAGAGACTCTAAACTTTCCAATACTTTAAAGAGTTATAAAAAAGGAATCAAAGTGAATATTGATTTTGAATGTTTTTTATTTACCAGTAACATTCTATAAAGAAATACATTCACACTCACAGTATGATACAGGACCTTTTACATAGTCTGTTGCAAAAACAAGATATGTATGAGACAATTTACGGATCTATAGGTTTTATTCTTTCTGCAGGAGCGGTACCAGGAACTGCTGATAGAGTATAGCTAAAACTGAGTGGTGGCATTTTTCAACACTTTTAATGAGAATCACCTAAAATAAAAAGTTCCCAAAGTTTTACTGATGTGTTCTGAGGCTTCTAGCAGGATATAAAGCTGACAAAAAAATTTAAGACTGGGGGAGAAACCAGACCCCGAGACAGAGGTAAAAGCACAGAAAACTTGCAAATGTAAACAATATATAACAACATATTCAATGTCTATGTTTGCTTGTTCATCACACGAATCCTAGCATAATGGTTCACGTTTTCTCGCACTTTAAAAACAGAAAATAAAGTGCAGTTAATGGCTCTGGTCGTCCCTTTCACTTTTCTTTTTGGCTTTGATGGTTCGCCTTTTCAAACTATAGATCCATCCACCAATACACATGAACAAGATGTTTCTGAGTATGGCTGTCTTACTAAATGAAAGATGAAAAGAAACAAAGCAAATAATAAAAACAAAACTGAACTGAAATGAAGCAAGGTTTTTCCACAAAGGCCCAATAAAAGCAGGCGGTGATATGAGCGGAAACAAGAAGCGGAACAGAAGCATCAAGTAACATTAACTCTTTTCCAAACTTACCTTCAGCTAAACACATGATTTACACTTTACCTGTTTAGATATATATATATATTTTTTACAAAAATGTGTATGATTCATGTCTGCATGGATGACTAAGATGGGTCACTTTCTCAGTTGCTGCTCTAAGGCAGAATAACAGCAGCACAGTGAGGATTAACAAACATACAGCCCTTTAGGATTGTATGGATTCAAAAAACAAATCAAAATGTTCCCCATTTTGACAGAAATTATCAGCACACTCTCATCAAGCATTCTTTTCAGCACATCAATTTACATTACACTACTGAATGTGCCATCAACCAGTTGTGTTCAACAAAAAAAAAAGAAAAAAGAAATTGACGCAGTTTAGAGTACCATTTTGTGTCAGTTCTCATCAAAGTCCTATTAGGCAGACCTACATTAGTGGGAATAATGTCTTTCCTTTAAACAAAACTTTGGGAACTAAGGGAAAACACAACTGCTGCTCAATTCCACTAAACATTTGATTCTTCAGCTTAATGTCAACGCTCAAAAAGTGTAATTCTTTTGTAATAACTGTGGGAGAAAAGAAAAAAAAAAGCTGTCTCAGTGTTGTTGGTCAGGTAAATCAAAATGCCACACAAAGGCACTTTGAATCTAGAAATGGAAACCAAACGACTTCCACTATAAAAGAAACATTTGCAATTCTAAATAGGGTTCACACTGTGAGCTGGCTAAAGCCTGTGTAAATACACAAGAAAAGTCTATCTGCGCTGCTCTCATATTTTGAAAATACAGCAAAAACAAAACAGAAACTCCAACTAAAGTCCAGGATTAATTAGGAACGGTCTTAGAATACATCCGTGGTGCTGGCACAGATTTTCTTTTTGGCACTTACAATGTTGCATCAGTGTATTCTGTGACATGCTGCACTCTGATTGGTTTGCAGATGTGGGACGTCAAACTGAGTAGGACTCTAGTATTTTATAAACAGGATGGGCTTTAAATTATGGAACTAAAGCACTGTTACAGCAGCTCTGTCTCGGTGAAATCTGCCATCACTTAAAGTAAAACTGCTAATCAAACACTGGTGTTGCCATGTCGACCAAAGTTCCTCCACATAAGTACACAGAGACACTACGACAGAAAATAAAAGCTGATTAAAGCTGATTTATGCTAATAAGAGGGTGGTCTTTAAAAGTTGCTAGCGGTGCGTTTACACAGTGAAATTTAACAACAACAACAACAACAACAACAAAAAACTCAGCTGGAACCTAAATAACCAACTGACACACTGTGATGGCACAAACACAGGAAGCTAAAAGGCTGATCAAAAATTTGTTGCACATTTTTTCATGCCAGCCTGTAGGAATGACCCAGTCCCAGCACAGTGGGTTTATTTGACCTTTCTGGGTTTTAAATTCGTTACAAAAGTCCCTTCAATCTGTTTGGTTTCTTTTTTTTGGTTTTTCCTTTGATCCAATTTGAACTCAAATAGAATTTCATATTCATTAAGTAACAAGTGAAGACAATAAAATATTTCCACACCTACATTCAAGTGCTTAGAGGGATATATTGCATCATTATCTCGTCTTATTCTACTCTAAACTGTAGCCACTGGACTTGCATTAAGCCTGCATGTTTAAGGACACGAGATGAATTTACTGTAGAAAAAAACAAAAACAAAAAAAACTACTCTCCTCTAGAAAATCTCTAAGTGTTTTAGCGTTGATACTGTGTATCATTAGTCTGAGTTACAAACAGCATTTCTAAATTGCCTATCAAAACGTAACCAATTCACATTTAAGGAGCAGGAAGAGTACAGAGGCACAGAAGCTTATTGCTGCCACTGATATATGTAGAAATACTGCACTGTGATATTCATGTTATACCAGGCTATGATCTGTGTTGGGGTTAAACCACATGCAGTCTGACTGGTTAGTTAAGCCAAATGAGAACTAATTAATCAGGTTATATTAGAGTGTTAAGATCAGCCTCCACAGTAAAGTGCACAGTCCACACAAGAACATTTGAGGCTTTGTCACAACAATAAAAAACACGATTTTGTCATTTGTGAGGATTCGTTGCATTGCAGTTTTAATGGCCGAAGAGGGTCGATGGTGTTTTAATGTAAACAAACTGCAAAGAGCCACAACTTTGGAAGTTCAAGTGTTGTCTTTTCCCCCCCAAACAGGGTTTATTAGTACCAGGGCTGAGCGATGTTTGGGTGAAATGATATGCGACAGACATCGTGGATGTGGACAACGTGATGTAAGAGGTGATTTTGTAGGTTTTTTTTTTTTTTACCAAATTAAGTAAGACTTACTATAAATGATATAATGTAGAATTATTAGACTTTGTGGCTGGGCTCTGTACCAGACATGAGTGTGCGGAGGAATCACATGACACTCATTTCATATGTTGGAGTCGCCTTAGTTTGATATATGATCATTCAAAGATCACATGCCTGACATGGAGCCAGATCACCTGAAATAGGTTCAACACAGGTAGAAAGTGTGAGATAGCTAGTAAACATGAGAAAGAATTACTTTAGGAGGGACTTAATTAGCAACAAGCAAGAAAATAGGAGTGGGCACAAATGATCGGATTCTAAAACGTACATCCACTTTTGCTGGAATGAAAGCACAATACAACTAAAGAGGGGAACTGTTAGAAACAAAGTCTACCATTTTTAAGACGGAAGCTGCTGAAGTTAAATAAAGTGTTTAGCACCGGGTGCACACCTAATAAGGTACTGGACTCCATCAATGTTCTATGAAGTTCTATTCCCAAATATTACGAAACCATAGAAATTCACGATAAGCCATTAGAAATCAACAAACATACGATTCAATGCTTATGGTTCCTGACATTTGTTCAAAGCCGTGGCTTTTAATTAGATGGCCTATGCATGTTTTCATTTTTTTAACCAGTAAGGGACAACTACATTCTATGGTGTGTATCGTTGTGGAATATGACATCACTCAGCCCAAATTAGTACCAACCATGTTCTTTACATGGACAGGTTGCCACTTCAGCCTTGTTATGTTCATATTGCTTTTAGTGTTGATGGAACTACAGCAACCTTATCCAGCTGTCCTTGTTGGACACAGTGAGCTGGAAGTTTTTGCTCTTTTCTTAATGCACTGAAATGAAAATTGTAATTTTACGCAAATCACCTCAGCATAAGCACATATTTCTTTAGCCTGCACAGTGAGACCTCTATATGTTAGTACCTTGCTCCAGCCATTTTGATCTACACAGGGAATGTAACCCCGAACCATTGCAGAGTTAGTGCCTGGCATCCCCCAGTGCCCTAAAGAGGAGACTCAACACTTCTTCCAGCTGACTTGCATAAAGGTTTGTTACAGCAGGGTAGTTAGAAAGCCCCATAGTAAAAGCCACTGATTGCAGTGAATTCAGAAAGTGCTTTTACCACTTCACTGATGCACGTGCTGTTCCTGCTTTTCTTCCAAATGTAGTCATTATATTTTAGACTGATAACAGAAGCCAACTAATCGACCACTGATTAGTGGACACTGGGAAATGAAACAATAATCTGACTGATCATTGTTTTTTAATGCCCCACTGGGGGGTCTGTGTGGCATAGGAGCTCCTGACTGGAGGTCAGGTGGGAACAGAGCTGGACACAGGACAGGAGAGGGCAGAAAGGGGGGGCAGGTGGCTCCACAGTGTTGGGTCCTCACGGTAGAGACTCCTCTAAGACTTGCCTGCGCTGGCCACAAACGGGACTGAGCCGAACAGGTCCTGTGGTGGGAGGGGCTTGGCAGTGGAGGCAGCAGGCTGCGGTAGGTCAGTTTCCACACTGGCTGTTCTCTCCACTGGTTTATCTGTATGTTGAAGATCACAGACAGAAAGACACTTAGATCATCTACAGCTATGACACTTAACGATGCATGGGTTCCATTATATGCTTTTTTTCGGTTGTCACAGGAGATTTTTCTTCAAACACCTCGTTCTACTAAACCCGAGACAAACGCTTACAGTTGTGACAATAAATACTAAACTAGAAAGCATTAAGAGAGTCCAAGACAAAAACAATCCTATAAAGTTTACTGACAGAAAATCTTTAGAAATATTTCATCTCTATCTGGTTCGGCAGCAAAAGAAAGACAGTAATAAACTTGTTGTTGGTTGTTAACAAATGTATCGGCTACAAAAAAGAATCACTTCCATTAAATTTCACTGAAATCTTTTGAGATATAAATAATTGACAAACATACAACTATATAACAAAATCATTGAAGGGGTCACTTGCTTGCTCTGAGCATGTCAAACTCCCGATCAAGCAGCTCCTCCTCTGTCAACTTGGAGAAGTTGTCCTCTCCGAAAGGGTTCCAACCCGACATGTCAGGGGGGTTACTGACTGTACTGTTGCAGCTATGAGAGGGTGGCGTAATCCCATCTGAAGTAAGCAGAGAGTTTCTACTGTGGAGACAGTACAACAGTGATAACCTGTTATGGATAGTATTCAGCTTTGGCACACATTTCAGTATTAAGGCTGTAAGATGATACCCAAAACCTAAATCCAGACGTTTAAGTTGCAAGTATAGACCTTAAAAAGTAAAAGTCTGCAAGAGATGTTTTCCAAAACTTCCTGTACAACATGGAAAAAAAAAATTATACCTTATTGTACTGATTTATTTTAAATATCTTATTACTGAATTAGGCAATAGTGGCTGGGTAAACATAGAAACTTAGTTAAATCTTTGTAGAAGGAAGAAATGTCAAACTAAGGCTAGGTAATGTATTTCAGAAGCATTTTTGTTATATTTGTTGAAATTCTTTTTACATCCCACCAGAAATCAATAAATCCAAATGTTCTAACTGGTATCTGTAGAGGTCCCAGGCCTCTAATAAGCCAGGCCAACCATTTCATTCAGACCGAATGAAATGACTGGCTGAATGTCTGTGTAGCTAGCTACCTGCCTGCCTGCTTGCCTGCCTGCCTTATGAACACAAGTACATGTCCCACAATATGATGAAGTTGAAGGGACATTACCTGGGGTTAGTGTATGAGGAATCCACAGGTGACGGTCCCCCGATTTGGCGAGTTCCAGCTCCAGCAGTGGGCGTGGTCGCATTATAGGAACCAAGTGGGATCTGGAACTCAAGAGGGGAGGACATATAGGGGAGAGGCTGCTGAGCGGGATGATGCTGCTGCTGCTGTTGTTGTTGCTGCTGCTGGACAAAAGCCTGTTGGTACTGGTGCAGCTGTTAGGGAAGGCAGAGAGGGAGAAGAGGGGGAAGGGAATGAGGGACGGACCTTTGATTTCATGGCGCACAATGATGGCAACAAGATGATGAAATGTTGTTAGAAACCAGTTCTGGATTTGGAAAGCTGGGGACACAGTGGAAGGGAGGGATGAAGGAATGAAAGTCAAACAGCACATCGGACACCAAACTTAACAAATTAACTAAGCACCAAATGCATGACGGATCACCTCAAACACTGGCTGACAATCTTAATTGAATAGTTTTTGGCCACTTGAGGGCAGAAACACTCCAAAACAAGCCGACTGATAAACAGTCTTAATGTATTATCAGCTGTATGGGTAACATGTTAACTATTTACACATTCAGCAGAAGCCGAGCAGGATTAGCATTTATTTGGAGCATTCAGTTGGATTCCAATAGATGTTTTCTTAACAAACCATATTAGTAAAACACTTCCTGCACACACCACTGTTGTGCTTTTAAAGTACTGTACAAATAAAGTTGATCTGAAGTCATTACAGAATATTACAAATGTGCTGTCACTTAGCAAAGCTCCCTCACCACAATAAGAAGCAGGTCTAAGATCACAGAGGAAACGCTGATTTTAAAACAGCAGGTATCTTGGGAATAAGAACAGTAATTTTGAGAGGTGCTCTCTTCCCCTGCTTGTGAACTGCTTCATATGTCAGGATGCAACACAGAGGAAACTGCTCGATTTCACCCTCTGTTCGATCCCCTCGTGGCTTCGCTCAGACCAGATTGCCTCTGAAATAAAACAGATGGTACGCGTTCGGTGGGAAACAGACTAAAAATTGCACTGCCCTAACAGTACGCATTTGGAGGACCTGTGTTTGTGTGTTTGATTCAGTATCTGCGTAAATACTAGTTTTCTGAATATTTGGACAGAGTCAGTAGGAAGTTTGAGCGTCTGCTTCCAATGCGGCTTGGCACAGACATGAAGCGATTCGACTGAAGAGAACTGGCTGCCAGTGTTTGGAACAGAGAGAGCAATTTTAGGGCATTCTGATATTAAATGAAATATTCAGCTCCGTGTTATTTCATGCTGTGTCTCCATGTGTTTCGCTGTCAATTGCTCAAACTATTTATTGCAGTTTTGGATAAAATCTTCTGCTCTGAAATTCTGTCACGATATTGAGTTAGAAGTATCCCTCAGATGCCTGAATGGGCTTGAACGCGAACAAAAGCAAATTCAATTTAATGGATGTCCATTTTAGCGCAAACCACAAATCAAATTCTCGCATTGGAAGCTTTAGTTCCAGGTTCAGATCTCTGACAGAACTCACCATGGCTGCGTACTGGTACTGAGCCTGAGCCTGAGCCTGAGCCTGAGCCTGAGCCCGGGCCTGGGCAACCTGCTGCTGGTACATCGGCTGCATCATCATCTGCTGCTGCTGCTGCTGCTGGAGGAGGGCCTGCTGCTGCTGAAGCTGGAGGGACTGCTGCACAGCCTGTTGGTACTGAGGAATGTTGTGAGCACATTAAATATCTCCCAGAAAAGCGGTTGAGTAATGAGTCCTGCTATGATGTGTTGTATGTTTGTCAGTCGGGTGGATGTACCTGGAGGTATTGGAGTTGCTGTGCATTTATATGTTGTTGCTGCACTGCTTGTTGGTGGTGATGTTGTTGTTGTTGTTGTTGTTGTTGTAGTTGCTGCAGACGCAGGTCACCAGGCTGTAGTTGCTGCAGGACTCGGTGCTGCTGACTGCTGGGCTGGGCCTGCACGGATGGCTGCCCTGAGCCAGGGGTGGGAGCTGAGTGGACAGGTTTAGATTTATTACTTGGAACACAACACTGAGCAGAGTTTGAACAAGACAATAAACTGAATAACTGAAAGTGATAAATTCTTCAAGGTAATTCAAGGAAATGTTGTAGTTGGTGAAATCTTGAAAACACAAAAATCCAAAGTACTCTACTAAAGGTCAAACAGCTTGAATGCTAGAGAATACAAAGCTGTGCACTATTGTCACAACAAAATGAATGTACAACATATAATACTTGAAAATACAATTAATGATAAACTTGATTTTATTCTAGGTTTAACCTTGCAGAAATGCTATTTCTCAACTTAGTTTGTCCACCTTTAAACAAACTCTTAGCATTTGGTGTTCAGTTTTCTCTGATAATTACATTGTATCTTCCTGTGGTAAAACAACTTGTGCAATTATATACAGAATGTGTACTTTCTCAATTTTTTTCTATAGAGATAAAAACATATCATCAAGATGATGGAAAGTTCTATATATCAATCTCACTAATGTTTAACAAACCTTTCTGGCCATTGCTGACGGGTGCTGAAGGCACGGTCATCTTGACAGGGGTGACAGTGTTGGCGAGAGGCAAGACGTTACTGTTTGCCGCTTTTGGCCTCTGTCTGGGAGCTATTGATGTTTCCGTTGGGCCCACAGAGTCTGTTATCCTAGAACGAAAGAGTCAAAACGTGTGGTTTGAGTTTCCCTTACCAATACCAATAAATTGTGAGGAGTGTGTGTACATCAGGGTTTGTGCTGTGCACCTTCCTGGTGTCTAATGTGCTGTTCTGCTGAGATATATGTTAAATTCAGCAGCAATTTAAAGGGATTTCTTTTCAATAGCTTAAATAAGCTACAAATTATTCCATTTTGCAATTTGTATTTTCTTTTGTTTATGGCACAAACTAGGAAGTTTTCCTCAAAGAAAGACTTAGCTAAAGTGTTTCTGCTGTAGCACTGGTGGTAGGAATGAAAAAAAATGCAAATGTGCTTTAAACATGTTTATTTTCTTTATAAACCCGTTTAATGGGGAAAATAATAAATAGTAGGGCCACTTAATGTGGATGAAATGTCTTAAACACATTCATTTGCTTAAAGTATGTATAAAGAGGATTCAGCAGAGGATCAGTGTCAGTGCTTGTCTGAATCTTGAGACAAAAAATAAGAAAACGTTGGTCCCTGCAGTAAGCAGTACCTGGCTTTTGTCATGCTTTTCTTAGCAGCAACCTCACTAGCTGTTAGAGGCTCTGGGAGCGACGTAGGGATGGGAGAGTTCTGTAAAAAGGGAAAGACAAATATGTCAATAAGAAAATAACTGAAAAGGCTAAAGCCACACTGACTGCTTCATTCTGTGGGGACTTACAAAGAGATTTGGCACTGGACAGTCTTTTCCAGCTAACTTGAAGGCAAAGTAGGACACTTGGTAAATGTCTGGTCTCTTCTCCTGGTCTGGTTCGAGCATATATCCTAGAAAAGACAAACAGGTCATTTTAAACAGCACACTGTGCAGAACAGCACTGTGTCAATTATTGTGGTTAATGTGCATCTTCTGTCTTTGGCCACTTGGCGGAGCTGTTGGTCAAATTATTTTATAAGGAAGGTCTACTGCAGGATGCATTTAAGGAAGTGAAAAAATTGAAAGCAAACAAGGCTGTCATGACTGACAGTCCATAGCTGGTTCAAACAAGCTAAAGTAAATGCAAACAACAAAACTCAAGTCGGTTATAGAACACTCTGGGGTTGAACACAGCCAGCAAACAGTCAAAGTAACATTGCAAAACAAGATTGTGGGTGCAAATTACAATCTAGTTAATAGCAGAAAATATATAGAATGAAAAAGAAAACATTACATATACTCCCTTTGGAAACCTATGTGCTCCATTTTGTGTGATTGTGTTGGTAACTATAACTATAAATAAAGTTATATCATGTGGAGAAAGTTTTCCACCCCACAAGTACAGCAGTAAAGATAAATCATCATATACATATCATATATACATACATTGTTTTTAAAAAACAAACAATGAAAGTAAATAGTGATTAAATAGTGACAGAAAGTGATTCTCGTGTAGTAATTATATACTCCTGTATCATTAGAATGCACATTATGACATTAATTCATATTAACTCACAAACTTACTGATTAAACAGTGCAACTTGAAGGAGAATTTTGAGTTATCTGGAACAATAAAGGTTCCGTCACATATGGCAACTTGACTCTCCCCAAATGGAAGTGCGAAGAAACACAGCTTGTACAACAAGCATCCAAGTGCCTGTGGAGAAAACAGAAACAGTGCTGAAAAACACCTGAACTCAGTCACTTTTAGGGCTGGGTATCACTTGAAATTTTCAATGCCAGTGCAAACACGATACATGAGTTTTGGCATCGTATTGCAACATATGTTTCAAATGCTTTTGTTGAGAATTATAAACATGTTTTTCTACAAAACAGACAAACCTCAAATGCATCACGGCTCAATGTTTTAACACAACCTAAATGAAATATGGATTAAAACCAACTACATGATGATGATTATGTAAAAAAGACTATGAATCTGACAAAGAATCTGATGCCAACTTTGAATGCTTGACAGTTTTTGATGCTCAGTGCTCCAGGCACATTTTGTTTAGAACTTGAAAGTATTATTACAAAAGATTTACACTTAAACAGAGAAACCACACAAAAGTGAAGTTGTAAACCCAAACTGTAGTAAGAACTTGGGTACTTCCCTCACTGCTTTAAGACTATGATGATACAGCCACTACTAACCAATCTGAACTCCATTTGCTTAATTACTTAATGCTTCTGAATTAATGTTCAAGTTGTTTTGAGTGATTGGGAAAAACATTAAGATTACCACCAGAAGATACAAGAAGTCTGTAAATGAGAAACAAGAAGATTTGAGATCTAACTGATTTGTTTTTTTATAACGCTTGAGCGAGAATTATCTGCAGTACTCATCAGTACTCACCACAGATATCGGAAATACGCATGACAAATAGACTTGTCAAGTACAGTCCATCCTAGCAGGAAGGAACCCTGTCAATGTTGTTGCCTTTCTCTACACAGAGAAGCACAGGCCTATTTAGCAAAGAGTTAATGTTGCTTATGTCAGTGGCTAAAAAGCTGCTTTTAAAAACAGGCCTAGAGTCTGCTCCCGTGGCAATGTGGCTGTCCAAACAAATCCACATGCAAAAGTGCTCTGCTCCCAAATCATATATTCAGTTGCTGCTATATTTGGCTCCGGCGTCTTTTTGTTGATGATGCCGTTGGAGATGAAAGAGACTTTGGAATTAGCGACAGCATGTAGGGAATCTTCTCGTTTAAGCTCTCCATCTGAAGACGGATATTTTTCACAGTTCTCCACTCAACGAGCTAATCCAGTCTGATGCTAAACTCCTAATCTGAGTCAGACAGCATATTCGCCAACAACCCCAAAATGCACGGATAAATGCATATGACATTTGAGTGAGGCCCAATGTACATGTATGTAAAACAGCAGAGTTTCAAACATGGCTAAACATAGAACAGGAAGTGAAAATGCAGGGGGTGGTCCACAGGAAGTTGGTGTTTTTGTTGAACGTCCCACAGTAGCTGTCTTCCTACAACCAGAGGCCTATTTAAAGCTTATGTCAATTCATCTGCTAATGTACACACATATATAACTACCAGTGCAAATTGACACATTTCTCCACAGGGGCAAAAGACAGTTTGAAGTGGCTGGGAGGTAGATCTGGATTAACATGCGTCAGTGATTATAGTCATGTTGTTTTACTTGTCTGGCATTCGAATTATATATAATCCAATGCACATCTTAGAGAAGCGTATGGAAATACAGGACAAAGCGGTGGATTACTCAGTCTAAATGCTCATTTCTCATAACTTCTGCACAAAACTTTGGCTGACAGCTTTGATAGACAGCAGTGTTTTTTGTTGTTTTATGGAAGGCAGAATGAATTTGCACTGGTTTACTGGTTTATATACAATATGTATATCTAGAACAATTGATTCACAGTTGAACCAAGCCTACACATTTTTATGCACGTGTCCCATCAACAGCCGCATCTTTATATGCTGGCTGTTTTAACTCCCTGGGTTCTAGTGCACCAATTTACACCACTCCTCAAAATGGCTGCTGTCCAAGCCCTTGTTCCTGCCTCTCTACCTCACACCTTTAAAAACAGCCAAGACCTATTTCACACAAGCTTATCAAGGTCCTCAACTGGCCATAATTATCTCAAACAGAGGGAAAATAGAAAAGGACAGGCAGCAGGGAGGGAGGAAAAGGACGAGGCGGAGTTCTGGCTTTGCTGTGAATGATGTTGCTTAATGTTTTATGAGGGAAAAACACTGTTGGAGAGCTGGTGGAGGCAAACAGCCTTGGGCAAGCCAGGAGACAGACAGAGAGAGAGAGAGAGAGAAGAGAGAGAGAGAGAGAGAGAGAGAGAGAGAGAGAGAGAGAGAGAGAAAGAAAGAGAGGAAAGTGAGGGATC